AAGGAGTGCCCTTGGAGAGTCCAAAAGCAAAAAAAGAAAAAAAGAAAAAAAAAAGAGAAAAACATAACAAGTAAATTTAAAAAAAAAAAAAAAAGAACAAAATATAAGGGGAACAAAGAAACAAAAAACAACAGGAGATGTGAAAAAATAACTAAATAAATGAGGGGAGAAAAACAAACTTTAAAACAAAAGTGAGAGGGATAAAAAAATTAAAAATAGAAAATAAATCTAAAAGAAAATGCATGATTTCCCATGTACCATTATTTTAACATTTAATAAAAACCAATTTAAATGAAAAAATAAAAGGGAACTAAGACAGTATTAAAGCAAAAAATAATGAGAAGGAATAGAAAGGAAGAGGGATCTTTGACTTTATCAGAGTTTTCTGTTGCTATTGGTTTTGGGGTTTGGTTTGGTTTGGTTTTTCAACGTGGGAAGAATTTCGTTTCTGTTCCCTTTATCCCTGAGCGGGCTCTGCCTCCCTGGGAGAGCGAGGGGTGGAGACTCAGGGGCCCTGGGGTCAAGGGGCCTCTGGTCACTGCCAGGTCCCTGGAGCCCAGGGCAGGTGCCCCAGGAACAGTGGGCACGGCGCAGTGGCTCCCAAGCTGGCTCTGTGCAGCACTGATGGGGTGTTGTAGGCCTCCAGGCAACCCGGGAGTCCCTGGTCCTTCCTGTCTCTAATGTGCCTGGAGGGGGCGCACTTGGGGCTTGCCCAGCCCCTAGGTTCCCAGTCCTTAATGGTCCTTAATGGTTCTTAACCCACTGTGATGACTTCCTAGGCCTTGAGGGAAAGGAAGGAGAGGGGATGGCTGTTGGTGGCTTACCGAGATACCCGGAAACCCCCGAAATCCTCAGGGTGAGCCTCTTGGGGTCACCACCCCCAAGTTCCTGTCCTTGGGGTCAGGAGATGCCCACCTCCCGGGGGACATAAAACAGCTCTCCCTCCTCACCCCTCACCTCAGGGCCACTCGGCAACCCTGAGGCGATGGTGGACCCCCAGACTCACAGGCCCCCAGGCTCCCTGGGAAGGGGGTTCACTGACCCTTTGGGGTCCTTGGACTCGCGGATGCCCTCTCAGGGCCCGGCAGGTCCAACAATGACACAGCAAAAAGGTTTCTTTTTACAAAAGAAAAAAGGAAAAACAAGTGGTGATTTTTTTTTTTAATAAAAAAACCACAGAGTATAAATAAATGTAAATATATAATAAGTGGATTTACTTGCAAGAAAATCAGATAGTATTTTTCTTTTAATTCTTTTCCAGCTTTAAACTGTGAAAACAAACAAACAAAAAAGGGTGGGGTGGGGTGGGGGACTTAAAATTTAGCAGGGACCTGTAAAGAGAAAACAGAAAACAAATATACAAATCCATTTAAAAAATAATTTAAAAAAAAAAAAACCCAGTTGTGAGAGATTAGAGCTGAGCTGAAAGCTGGAGAAGGGGAAAGAGGCCCCAGCGAGCTGCAGGGAGCGTTCGTGATGGAAATATCTCTTGATTACCCAAGGAAGCCGTTGCTAACATGGAAGAGAGAGAGAGGGTCATCACAGAGAGTCAGGTCTCCACAAAGTAGATCCCATACTCAGTCATACACACTCATGCACTCACACAAACACATACACACTCACTCACTCACACTCACAGAGTCCTCTCAGAGTCACAGGGATACACTCTCACTCTGAGCCCTTCCATTCCCTTCCAGAGGCATGGATGAAAGAAAACCAAGTCTTCTCCAAAGTCATGGACAACAACTGCACATGGGCCTTTATGCTCACTGTGCCCTCCCCCACATCACGTGCACACACACACACACACTCCACACTCACCTGCACAGACAGGGCACCAGACTTGAATCCAGTACCAGATTCTAGAATTCCTTGCTATGAGGCCTCTCTGGGCCTCAGTTTCCCCCTGTGTAAAATTGTGGATGGACCCAGCTGAACTCCAAAGGCCAGTTCTTGTCCAGCGTGTCTATGACTTTTAACATCTACACAGGGAGAGATGCAGGCCTGACCAAAGCACCTCTCATCCAGCCCCTTGACATTGAGAACATTCCCAGATGGTCCGTCAGCCTCTGATACACACACACACACACATACACACACACCCCATATGCCTCCTCACTGTACTCCCCAACCCCTGCCCCCACATCAAGTGTCAAAGCAAAAAATACACTCATGTGAGCAAACGTATCCTCTGTTCAGGCAAAGAGTGAAAAGACATCAGGGGTCCCCAAAGCCTTACCTCTTTCTTTAATGCCATAATCCAGTCATAGAGCATAAGGGAGACTTCCAAGAGATTAAGGATCCCCCACCAGGCTTCTCCCATTGTCTTTGGGGTCAAAGAAAGAGGGGATCCCTGGGATATGATTGGGAGGTGTTAAGGCTGAGGGACCAGAGAGGAGAGTTTTGGCAAAGTTCAGTTCCAGAGTGAAGACCAACCCCATAAGTTCAAGTTACACCACAGACTAAAGTCTAAAGACTAAGGTCGGGGGCATTTTGGGCTTCTCCCCTTTTTCCCCAGAATGAAAAGGGCCAGTTCAGACTGACAGGAACCCAGTGGTGTCCCCAAGCTAGAAATTTCAGACCAGGATGTGCGTCATTCTGCTGAAGTCGAGGCACCTGGGCCGCCTTGACAGCGTCTCTCTCTTGGTTTGCCTGTTCTTGACCTGGCCTGGCCTGAGGTTTTCCAGCTCAGCTCTCTGAGGAGTTCTGGGGAACAGCGAGTGAGGCTTCCTGGGCTTGCTGGTTTCCGCTGCCCTTCCCCTGTGTCCTTGGTCTGGGAAAGCTCTCTTCCCAGGTCAGCAGCAGCTGGAGGACTGTGACCCAGCCTGAGCCACAAGGCAGAACATCTGCCAGCCCAGCCCAGAAGTCCCCGGGACGACAGGGCCGAGGGCAGAGCACTCTGGGCAGAATTCTATCCCTTCCCCCACTCCAGCCTGGCCCAGCGCCCCTCCAGATCTCAACCAGAAATGGATCATAGACTGGAGAGAAGGGAGAGGCCCCCAGAAAACAGCAAACTATCCAAAGTGGTTCCAGTTCTCGGTCTGGCAGAGTGTTTGGGGTGCAAGCAGCGCGGCCTTCCAAGTTGTGGGACCTGGGTTCCTGGCCCATCTGAAGAGGGCCATCGGGGTGCTGGGTGAGCTCCAGTGTGGCTAAGAGAGGGCTAGGGGGCCCGGGGGGACGGAGGCAGCTGGGACAGCAAGGGCACTGCTTCCCAGGGTGGACGGCTGCTCATGTCCAGCTCAAATCAGTTCAAGAAACCAACCTCCATTTTATTTTCTTGGTGGGTTCTTTTTTTTTTTTTTTTTTTCAGACTGTTAACAGAAAAAAATTTTAAAAAGCAGAAAACTTAAGAAAAAAAAAATCCTGGTACATGAAATAAAGATTTTTTTTTATAGCTTGGTCCTCACTTCAGCAGATTTCTTTAATTGCTTTCCCAACTCACAGCATCCTATCTCAGACAATCTTAAAGCCACAGATTCTCAGAACCAGGGGTGGGGGGAGGGGAGGGGAGCCATGCTGTAGAGTGGTCCTCCTCTCGAGGTTATGAATTTGCTCTTAAATATTCCTTGCTGACACCTACCTCCAGGACAGGGGGCTTGCTCTCACCATAGGTGGCATGGCCCCTGCTGGACAGCACTCCTTGGCAAAAGCCTTCTCCACACCCTGAGCAGCAAATCCACTTCCTCCTTTGTGAACCAGAAACACTGAACAAGTCTTTTCTGTTTTCAGCACAACCAGTTGCTCTGGAGTCGATTTTGACCCATGGCAACCTTCTGTGTGTCAGAGCAGAACTGTGCTTCACAGGGATTTTTCCAAAGTAGATTGCCCAGCCGTTCTTCCACAGTAATCCTGGGTAGATTCGAACCCCCAGACTTTCAGTTAGCAGCTGAGTGTGCTAACTTTTTGCACTTCCCAGGCACTTTTTCAGCACAACAGACTCTCAAGTATTTGAAGACAAATGAGCATATCTTTAAGTTTTCTCTCTTAGAATAAGCCAGCCCCACTCATTTGTAGGACCAAGGGTGGAGTACCGCTTATCACCATAATCATACTCCAGGGTTTCTATTTTCCCTGTGAAAGCATGCAGCCTGGCATGGATGTGACCCTGCAATGTGTACTCAGAGGACTCCCTTCAGAGAGAGGGCTCCTCCTTGGTGGGATCATGTTTGGGGAGATAAGTGGGGAGGGTCTAGCCTGGGACTCTTCTAACTTGAAGAGATGAGAAAGGCAAGATGGGATATGAAGGAGGATCTGACTCTTGACAGTGGAGAAAATTTCCAGTTGAAAGCAGCTAATTAAAGAATTGGTCCACCAATATCCAGCCCTGGTCTGGTCAAACTTCAGGGCCTGCTGTTTGAAAGAGGGTTGTAAATGCCTCTCAAAATGCATTCAATACATTGAATTTAGTTCATGTTAATGTTTTAAAACTATCACACTGCCTTAGGTACCTAGTGCTGTCGGAATAGAAATATGACAAGTGGGTGACTTTAAAGAACAGAAATGATTTTCTCACCATCCTGGAAGCTGAAAATACAAATCAGGGACCCAGTGTGTTGACTCCTTCCATGCCTCCCTCCTAGTTTCTGGTGTCTGCCAGAGATCCTTGATGTTCCTCTGTTTGTAGACAAGGCCTCCAGCAGCATCTGCCTTCAGCCATGTGTGTGTCTGTTTCTCTTCTGCTCTTTTTATAGCTCAGAACTGCTTAGGGTTAGGACCCACCTAGCTCTGGTATGGCCTCATTAACATAACAAAGAAATACTCTATTTCCAAGCAGAGTCACATCCACAGATACAGGGACCTGGAATTCAGCATGGACTTTTAAGAGACACAATTCACTCCATAACAGATACCAAACAGGACTGGTAAAAGGAGATATTTCAAGACCAAATCAAGATTTTAAAAGCAAACCAAAAGTACTCATTTATTGGCAAATTGTAAAATGCTTCATCCTCTCCTCCCTCGAACATTTCCACCTTACCCAATTGACTGTCCTTGACCCAGAAGGGCAGGTGTAAACTCACAACTGATGCCATGACAAACAAGACAAAGGAAAACAAGGCTGACCAGGGCTTGTTGAAAAGAAAGCATTATGATACAGTGCCCTGAAGCCTTCATCCTGCCCTACTAACAGACATCATGGCACCCCCAAACACACTGAGGTCTCTCTCATGCATTAAAATGCTGGGACTCACTTGCCTGGTGATTTTATATTTTCATATGAAGAGCCAGAGGTGTGATTTGTGGGGAACATCACATAGAGTGGTGGAGACTGGGGAGGGCTCCAGAAGCCATGCCACCAATCCTGACCCCACCACCATTACCAGTTGCCGTCAAGTCAATTCCAATCCATATCTATGGTGGCTCTCATGTGACAGAATAGAACTGTGTTCCATAGGGTTTCAGTAGCTGATTTTTTTAGAAATAGATTACCAGGTGTCTCTGGGTGGACTCGAACCTTCAACCTTTTGGTTAGAAGCCAAATGCATTAACCAATTGCACCATCCAGGGCCTCCAATCCTGACACAAACCAGGGCTCCTTTATGGGATGGGGTTTGAGGGAGAGAAGACACTATCCAGGACAGAGGGAAGAAGCTTAGCCATTGTTCAGCTCTCCCTAAGGCTCGAAAGAAAAGAGGTGGCATGCAAATGAAACCCTGAGGGACACCTGGACCTACCAGCAAGTGAGCCCACACTGCGAGGCCCCAGAATACCCCCTTCTAGGACTGACCAATGTTCAGAACTCCCTGCTCAATACCGCCCAAGTCCTCTGGTACCACACACCAAGACCCATATGAGCCTCAAGCATCTCCCTCTCCAGGCTCACCCCTAACATGTAGGGGCAGAGGCAGGACAACA